AAAATATAGTGAATACAAAAGATTCATTACAGCATTTAACAACATGGTGCATGAAAATCCATCAATAAATATTATTGAGAAATTTAATTATTTGTTGAACTGTCTCTCTGGTGCAGCATTAGCCGTTGTGGAACCATATCAAATCTGTGAAGAAAATTATGAAAAGGCATTAGACAGACTGCAAGAACGATATGACAATAAAGTGTTAATATTTTTGGAACAAATCGAGTCGTTGTTTAACGTTCCAAAAATGCAAAAAAGTGACAGTGTCTCATTGCGTCATCTTATTGATACAGTTTCTGCAGTTCGTGGTTCATTGCTGTCGCTCGGTACAGAAGCAGATGTAATGAACGCAATTTTAGTTCACATGGTGTTATCAAAAGTAGACGGTGATACAAAGGAGAATTATGATGAAAAACAAGACTTTAAATCGTTGCCCTCTTGGGATTTGTGTTATGAACTTTTAAGTCGTCGTTGCCAATTTCTCGAAAGCCATCGAAAAAGAACTGAAGTGTCTGACAGAGTTGTTGCTCAAAAGCCCAAACCAAATCCTAAATTCAACCGGTCTGCTCATACATTTGTCAACTCAAATTCGATTTGTTCATATTGTAGCTCAAGTGAACATAACATTTCAAATTGTTCGTCATTCGCAAACATCGTCGTTTCGGAACGTTTTAAATTCGTAAAACGTAGTGGGCATTGCATTAACTGCCTTAGAAAAGGACATATGGTATCGAAGTGTCCCTCAAAATCTCGATGCAGAGTTTGTGATTCTGCACATCACACGCTGCTTCATATATTTAGTAGCCCAGAACAACCAAGTACCTCAACATCGAACATTAATTCGTCGCAGACATCAACCAGCTCAAATCCAGTATCTCTCGTTGCACGTTCATTTAAAAGAGCGATAATTCCGACTGCTGTAATTCTGATTAAGGACAACTGTGGCTCATTTCAAACGGTAAGAGCATTGCTCGATTCATGTTCTGAATTAAATTTTATTTCTGAGGAAACTGCTAAGAGGCTCAAACTAAAATTTAGACCGTTTTCTCAAGAAATCTCTGGAATTGGAGAAGTTCGAACAGCAATAAAGTTTTCAGTAGAAACTACAATAAAATCTAGAAGTAGCTCATTTGAATGGTCCTCATGTTTTGCTGTTACCAAAAGTATTTCGTCACGTCAACCTGGTGAATTGATGAACACATCACAATGGAAGATTCCCCAAAACATAGAATTAGCAGATCCGCTTTTCTACAAACCCCAACGTATCGATGTGCTTCTAAGTGCCGAAGTATTTTTTGATTTGCTGCTAGATGGTAGAATTTCATTGGGAAATGGATTGCCGTGTCTCACGAATACAGTTTTTGGTTGGATAGTTGGAGGTTCGTCGCCCAGTCGTCCAAATTCAACTTCATTAACATGTAACTTAACCGTAAGTACACATGAAGAAAAAATTGATGAAATGTTGAAACGTTTTTGGGAAGTTGAGGAGTATTCCAAGTCACCCAACCCATATACAGAAGAAGAACAAGCATGTGAAGGTCATTTTATCGAAAATAGTGGTTTTGACTCTGAGGGAAGAGTACAAGTTCGACTTCCATTTAAGAAATCTCCTATGTCTGAATATGTGTCTCTTGGCCATATGTCACCCTACACCCAATCGTTGAATGATTCGCACTATATTATACCTCATCATTGTGTTCTCAAGCCCCAAAGTGCTACTACAAAAATTCGTGTCGTATTTGATGCATCAGCTCGTAGCTCATCGAATCAGTCCTTGAATGATATATTGATGGTCGGTCCAACAATTCAGCAGGATCTGATCACCACACTTTTCTCGTTTCGGTTGCACAAATACGCTCTCACTGCAGATATTTCAAAAATGTATCGGCAGTTTCGCATAGATGAAAGAGATAGAAGATATCAACTCATATTGTGGAGAACTGACAAAAATGATGAACTCAAGGTATTCCAATTGAACACAGTAACTTATGGCTTATCGGCCGCCCCTTTTTTGGCAATTCGTAGTTTGTTTCTCATTGCAGATAAATACAACACAACTCATCCTCATGGTTCGGAGGTCTTACGACAAGATCTTTACGTCGATGACGTACTTACAGGCGCCGATAACATTGAGACTCTGGCTCTTAAAAGAGACGAGTTGATCCAAATATTGAAATGGCATGGAATAGAATTGGCTAAATGGAATAGCAACCATGCGTCGCTCACTTCGAATAATGATGAAGAAATCATCATTAAAACATCGGATAACGACATAACTAAAACATTAGGTATGTCCTGGAAACCTCATCAAGATGTCTTCCTTTATAGATTCGAGTTGCCCGATGTCACAAATCCAACTAAAAGATCAATTTTGTCGATCGTATCCAAAATCTACGATTTGCTTGGAATTTTGAGCCCAATCGTTATCCGTTGCAAAATTCTTCTTCAAGAATTATGGGTTCAAAACATTGGATGGGATGATCCTCTAAACGATCATCTCAAGGCTTTGTGGCTCCAAATCAAAGAAGATTTATCGTACATCCATCAAGTAGAAGTCCCAAGATATGTACTTACGTTGTCCAATCGACATGGAGAAATACATGGTTTCGCAGATGCTTCTCAACGTGCATATGGTTGTTGTATTTATTATCGTGTCTCAGAAAATGGTATGTACAAAACCACATTACTGATTGCCAAATCGAAAGTAGCTCCTATCAAAGCCCAATCTCTACCTCGTCTCGAATTGTGTGCTGCAGTGTTACTCAGTAAAACGTGGCTCAAAATCAAGTCTAAAATTGAAAATTTCGTCTCATCGTTGTACTTTTGGACAGATTCGAAAATAGTACTCCAATGGCTCAAAATGCATTCGTCAACTTTGAATTGTTTCGTGGCAAATCGTGTCTCTGAACTTCAAGAAGAAACTCGAAACATCATTTGGAGACATGTCCCAACGAAAAGTAACCCAGCTGATATCGTATCTCGTGGTTGTTGTGCTCAAGAATTGTCGAATACCATCTGGTTTCGTGGCCCATCGTTTCTAGAAGAAGATGTCTCAAATTGGCCAGGAGCTGAAGACGAGATGACAATTGAAGTCCCAGAACGCAGAAAAGCCGCCGTCTTTAAAAACACAGCCTGTGAAAACAATGTCATTAATGACATTCTGGATAAGCAATCTTCATATTATAAATTTATTCGAATAATTGCTTATGTTTTTCGTATTTTCAACAGGTATCCCATAAGTCGTTCTTTGAAAGTCAAAGATGTTGTCCACATAGCTCCTAAGGAACTTGAAGACACCTTTTGGAAGGTAATCTCACTGGTCCAGCGGTCATGTTACTCATCGGACATACAAGCAATTGAAAGTGGAACCGTCGCTCATCCATCTCTGCAAAAATTAACCCCATTTTTGCACAAAATGAAAGTGGAAAATGAAGAGATCAATGTTCTTCGAGTTGGCGGACGTTTAACAAATGCTCCGATTCCGTATGATGCAAGATTTCCTGCCTTGTTGCCCAAAGACCATCGATTCGTCATTTTGTTTGTCGAGCATTTGCACCGAATTCATTTGCACGCCGGTCCAAAGGTGTTGTTGAGCATTTTACGCCAGAAGATATGGATAATCAATGCCAGAGAAGTAGTTCGAAAGATTGTTCGAAATTGCGTGCATTGTTTTCACTACAAGCCAAAATTGTTGGGGCAAATAATGGGAAATTTGCCAGTTGATCGTCTTCGAGCTCAACGTCCATTCTTGGTAACTGGAGTTGACTTTTGTGGCCCTTTCATGACGTCATACAGAATTCGAGGGAAGTCACCCTACAAAACCTACATCGCAGTTTTCGTTTGCTTCAGTTCCAAAGCTACCCATTTGGAACTCGTATCGGATTTGTCAGCAAACAACTTTATATTGTGTCTCAAACGATTCGTGGGAGGACGTGGAATTCCCCAGAAACTCTTTTGTGACAACGCAACTAATTTCGTAGGAGCTTGTAACAAATTGAAAGAGCTCAAGGAATCATTTTTTAATGATGAAGTTGTCCAAAAAATGAAATCGATTTGCTGTCAAATGGGTCTTGGATTCAATTTCATACCCCCACGCGCCCCACACTTCGGTGGATTGTGGGAGGCAGCGGTAAAATCCACAAAAACGTTGCTCAACAAGAACATAACAGAGTCGTATCTTACATTTGAAGAGTTGCAGACCCTGGTAGTCGAAGTAGAAGCAATATTGAACTCTCGTCCAATTGCTCCCATGTCAGACGATCCCAACGACGGTGAGGCGTTGACACCAGGTCATCTCCTTATTGGTTCATCTCTGGTGGCAATACCTGAACAACATTCTGATGTTACCAAGCCATCGTTGCTAAACAGATGGCAACGTATTTCGTACCTGAAACAACAATTTTGGCAAATGTGGTCCAGGGATTACCTTCTGTCTCTCCAGCAAAGGTCAAAGTGGTTCACCGACGAGAAGAATATCAATGAAGGACAATTGGTCATCATCCACGAGGACAACACACCCCCTCAGCAGTGGCTCTTGGCTAGAATTACGAAAACAATACCCGGTCGTGATGGAAAGATCCGAGTGGTCGAGTTGAAAACTAAAAATGGAATATCGTGTCGCCCGATCCATAAAATAGCCCCTTTACCAAGCCCTGAAGATCCTTGAAATTTTGGCATTTCAACGGGGGGAGGATGTTGGAGGAGATCAATGTATATGTTTTTACGTTTATTGTATTGTTTTCCATTTTAATTAATTTATTTTAATTTCACATTTTGTTCGGCCCACCTTAATGTCGTTTGTTCATTTTAATAATCGGCCCACTCTAATGTGTTTTGCGTTCCCTTTTGTGTCGCCCTTTTTTGTCGTTCGTCTTGTTAGGAAAGCAACAACAACAATATTCAAATATTGTTTGAATATTTGCTTGTTACTGCTTTCCTATTTCATCGTCGTCAACACAAAACAACCACAATGCAGTGATCAGTCGTTGGCTGCATTGTTGACAGTTTTATATGTATGTATGTAACATATTTATTAATAACTGTCGTTTGTTTTGTTTTGATCGCTTATTATTTTTGTTTCAATTTCGTTTTGTTTCTTCTGTTTTGTCTGTGGCCCTACAAGAAGGGAATGCAATTATGTTTTTTAGTTGACATTTAGCCGGCACCCTCAATCAACAATAAATTTTTGTGAACTTTTAAATTAAAAAGCAAACGCGTTTTTCTTTTCGGGAAAAATACAAAAACCTTTCTGCGCAACAAACACAAACCATGTTTTTTTTTTGGATCTGTTGTTTTTCTGTAGAAAAAAACACAAACCATGTGTTTTTTTATAAAAAAAAAAATCACAGACCTCGGTACGTGTTTTTTTTTTCTATAAAATTATTTTTTCTATAGAAAAATCTTCTTAAAAATCCTCGCCTATGAAGACCCTAAATAAAATATTTTTTTGTTAAAAATCCACGGATATTTTTTTTTTTTGTTTTTTTAAATCCTTGTCTATTAAGACCCTAGAAATTTTTTTTTTTTAAATCCATCCTATGACCATAGAAAAAATATATTTTTAAAAATCCACGCTTATAGTGACCCTAGAAAAAAATATTTTTCAAAATTCACGTCTATTATGACCCTAGATTTTTTTAAATCCCCGCCTATAATGACCATTGAAAAATATTTTTTTTTTAAACCCCACCTATTTCGTATACCAATTATGGTGTGGGTTTTAATATAGTAGTACCCTTCAGACCTTACCTCATTCCTTTGCACTTTTTTATTTTTATTAAACATCAGATTTAAAAAATTCACAGAGGTCGGAATAAGAGAGTTTCTATAACATTTACTAATTACCAATTTTGACTGTGTTTAAAAAATAAAAAAAAAAATTATATTAAATTCTCATATTTCAGAATATAAAAATAATTGGAAGTTAAATAAAAACCAAAGCATTTCTATTGAAATAGCAAAGAATAGTACAATACTGTCTGGTCATTTGTGTTATTTGTTGATATGTTTTTTATAATAACAAAGTGCTAGACATTATTGAAATTCAATATCTAGTTGTGTCTGTGTGTGTTTTTGGCTTCACATGTGTCAATTGAAGGTTATTCAGGATATAACAAAAAATAATTTGATATAAACTTTAAAAGGATAAAAAAAAAACAGTGAGCGGAGCAGTATAGTCGGACGGGGTCGACCATACGACACCCTACACAACTACGAAAGAGTTCTAACTTTTTAAGGAAGTTTATTCCGAGCCTGGGAAATATTTCGTGACATTTGCACCCTCTTGCCCGGTTAGAGGTCAACAGCACATCTTCCATACACTGACATATTTTCCGAATATTACAAATATTCAGTACAGCCCTTCTTATTACTTGTCCAGATTGACTTCGGTGTTGTATGGTGATAGATCGATTCGAAAAATTGCAAAAAAATAAGTTTTCGGTCCACTTCATCCCAAAATTATTATCTGATCATCAACGAGAATTATAAGCGCTATCCTTGACCATAACTGGAACCCCATAAACAATTTCAAATCGATCAGCGTTTTATTTCCGCCCTCTAGTGTGGTAATGGGTTACTAAATAATATCTGAATATGTAAGCACCTGTAAATATTCAAGTGTAACTCCCACATCCGAGAACATACGACAATATAATTGGTATCAATTTAAAGGTCAGGCACTCCTCTGGGATATACTATCAACTTATCGGGGTCTATATCCTTTAGGAGTAAATATATACGCCATAGAATCCAAATTTTGTAATTTTTCACACAAAAGTCAGGGTCCATTTTACCCGCTAAATATTGACTGATCTTTATCAAAACAGGCATGCTCAATCTTTGGCCCGATCCCATTCTCCATGTAAAATTTCGGACCATAATTGCGACCTCTGGATCGACAAAACCGACAAAAATTAAGTATTTGGTCCATTTCATCCCCTAAATATTAACCGATCTTTACCAGAAACAATAGGGGTCTTCATTGGCCAGAATCCATCCTACATGCAAAATTTCGTGAAGATTGGTCCATAACTGTGGCCTGTATCGTGTTTACAAATTATAATGGACAGACGGACGGAAACACATGTCTAGATCGACTCAGCTAGTCGAGATATGGCGATCGGTATACTTAAAGGTGGGTCTAGGACCAATATTTCGCGGCGTTACAAACTTTTGGGGCTGCACAAAGCTATAATACCCTGACAACATAGTTGTGTAGGGTATAATTAGGTAAAAAAGATCCACAATTTCAGGGAACAAGTGATGTAGTGTCTAATCTTTTTATAAAAACATTTTAATTAAAAATATAAAAAATTGTTTTTTTTTATTTTAGGTACCCGAAATAAATTTTTAAAAATATTTTTTCCAGGACCATTTATAGGCGTTGTTTTTTTATAAATATTTTGTCAGACTCCATATAGAATGTTCCCTTTAATTTTTAAATCCTTTCAATTCTCTTAATACATCCTTATTTAATGTACTTCTATTTAAAACATCAGCAACAATTTCCAATTCTCTTCTAATTTTTAAAAACAAACACAACTTTACACAAAAAAAAAACTTTACATAAAGTGAACGAAAAGCTGTTAACTAACCCAAAAACTAGCAACAATAATTAAGGATATTTTTATTTTGCAGTGAGTGCGTAAATATGCAAACATGCATCCTGCTGCCAGGATGTAACACGATTTACCAACTTCCGTTTCAGTAGCGGAAGTAATGATGGCAGCCGCCATAATAATGGCCAGTGAAAAATGGCAAACAATGGCCGTGAAACAAAAACAACAGGCGTTAACATATTTACCAAATAGTAACCAAAGCGAGAGGGAAAGGATGAGGGGAAATACGGTGTGCTGTATGGGTGTTTATATGTGGTTTTATGCCCAGTGAAATTTTTTTGTTGCTTAAATCTGACTTTGACTTTAATAAATCCATGCCTATTTTGCATGCTTGAAAAACTATTCTTTATAAATCCACGCCTATCTTTGATGCTTGAAAAAATATTCTTTAAACAAGTCCATACCTATTTTGGGATGCTTAATGCTATTTTGGATGTACTAAACAATTTTTGCAATTCCTGAACCTAATATGCTCTCTATTATGTAATTACCAAAATCGACCACACACATACATGTAAACACAACCAAATTTCAGACACATTTACTCTATTGAAATCTGATAATTATAGACTATGTAAAACATCTCCAAGTATTCTTCAAAACTCCTTGTAAATCCATGTAAATATGAATAGAACAAATAGTCATACCAAGAAATACCAATTGGATATTTGTTTCCTTTATCACAAAGGAGAATATCTTCTAATGTTCTAGTACTACCCACAACAATTTATGAAATATCCTTGCAAACATTTGAGGTGCTTTAGTTTATTATTTTTGAGATCAATGAAATGAAGTTATTTAGAATTTATATAGCTTTCCCAGCTCCCACTCCTACTTCATCTTATTCTCCTCTGTCTCCAATAACTTGATGTCCTTTTGTTGAATTGTTCATTTGGTAAGAGACAAAAATGCGTATAGCATATTTCCTGTTGTTTAATACAAGTATGTTATAACTCTTATTGGAAACACATACATCCGCACACACACACACATACACTGAATTATTGTATATGATTGAGAAGTAATACAAAGGGATAGTGACCTGTTGATGGACAAGACAGGACATAAATTACTTATAGGGATATTTATTAATACTTGAAGACAGTGGTGAAGGTAGATAGATATAGATATATAGCCTTTTCAACACCTCAGAACAAAGGTCATAAAATTTATTTATAGATAAAAATACATCCTGAAGTCTATGTATCTTGAAGTCTAAAGATCTGTTTATAGAAAAAAATCGCAAAATCGTAGGTGGATTCTTCGGTTGAAATATATCCTGAGATCTGTAATGTTTCGGCAGATAAAAAATACATCCATAGGTCTGAATTTTTTTAATAACTCCTGATGTGTGTATTTTATTCTATATAAACAAATGATTCTAAAACTAAATCCTGAGGCCTGCAAGTACATAACGTATATATGTATATGATGTTAATTGTATTCAAAGGAAGTTAAGTTAGTTAAGAACTAAGGTCTGTAAGTTTTTTGTAAAAAAAAATACATTTTGAGGTCTTTAATGTGAAAAATATATGCGAAAGCCGGTAAATATTTTCTATAGAGATAAAAGATGTTTTCTGTAGATATAAAAATATGACCTGTAGTTTTTACTTCAGAAATACAGTAAAGTACGGTTATAGCGAACTAGCAGGGACCAAGCAAATTAGTTCGTTGTAGAAGAAGTTCGTTATATCCAATGTGAGGCAAAACCTAGAATTAGCAGTAAACTATATATTCTGTTCCGAAATATGCAGTTTTTGTGTCCTTTTACCTTCTTCTCTTTTTTTATGAAGAACCTGATTTTTTTGTAAAGTTTGTCAGCGTTAGCATATAAATTAACTTTTGTGCGAATTGGCATCGTTAACTATTTTGAATTAAAATAAATGAGAACTGAAAGATGGAACCGGATAAATAGTTAAATATAACCATTATTTTACAGTTCCGCCTAATTTTAGGTATTTTAAAGGCCCTAAATAGAAAAGGCAGGATAGGAAATAATATCCAATAAAAATATTAGTGGATAGGACCCATTTTCGGACTTTATCCAGACTTGGTAAAGATAATAGGTTGTAAAAAGTTTGGTTGAAATCGGACATTTAATTCACCTGATATTTGATTTAAAAATTTTGATCATTTGAAAATTTTGACCCTTTGTGGGGAGGTACAGAAGGAGTAGACCAATGGGCTTAATCTTCTGATTGGTTCTAGGATTGCTATATAATAAGTTATGCAAAGTTTGGTTCATATCGAACATATGCCTGTTATTGGATTTAAAACTGTTGAAAATGTTGGGTCCCATAAGTCTTCATCTTGGAAAAGATAATCGGTTGTCGACTGATATTGGATTTATAAATATTGAAAAAGTTGCCCCTTTGTGGGGGAGTTTCCCAATGGAGAGGACCAATGGGTCTCATCTTGGTCTAGGCTTGGTAAAGACAATAGGTTATGCAAAGGTTGATTCAAATCGGAAATTCTATTCTCTATTATATATTGAAAAGTTTTACTATATGTGGGGGAGGTACCTAATGGGTCCCATCTTCAGTCTAAATCAATTGATTTAGACTTGGTAAAACTGACATTTCATTCGCCTATTATTGCATTTATAAATATTGTAATTATATTATAGGCTTAGTAAAGATAATAGTTTGTACAAAGTTTGGTCCAAATTGGATAGTCCGTTCGCATGATATTATAAAATTAATTTTTAGCAATGGAGTGGAGTGGAACGATGTTTTCCATCTTCGAACTTGAACTAAGTTTGGAAGAAATATTACGGTGTATAAAGTTTGGATGAAATCGATAACTCTCTTCAAGAGTTATCTTGCGCTCCAACCGGCCAGATAGACAGTTCAATGATTTTTTAATATATAAGATCTCGAAGCCCAGGTCGAAATTTTGTATAATAGAAAAAATGTATCAGAAATGAAATGTCTCAGTAACACGGGGGCCATTCAATAGTTATTCTATTGACACAAGAGCTTCTGAAGGTCAGCTGTTAACAGTCGATCACCTATTCATAGAAGAGAATTCTTAGTCTTCAATATAAATAATATATTCGAATAAATTCATATTCAAAAAGGCTCTGAACGTTTTCTATAGACCCTTTAAAGGCCTCTGAGTAGACATTTCTGTAGAGATTGTGAGAGGTTCATTATTGGACCTTCTTCTCTGAATATAACTTCCAATTCCTTTCTATGAATTGATAGTCAAGGGCCATAAGAAAGACCCTGGATTTCGTCAATTTTATACACAGAAGTCATCTGAACTTCTAAAGGTATTCTGTAGACAGAAGTCCGTGTGAAGAATTCTAAAGTTATTCTATAGACACAGGATCTTCTAAAGGTCAACTGTTGACAAACTTCATATATAATTCAAGGGTCTAAAGGTTTTCGAGTACACATGTTTAGGGGGTTCTGTAAAGATTGTAAGACGTTCACCTTTGGGCCTTCTTCTCTGAATAGACCCTTTAATGCCTTTCTATGAACTAATAGTCAAGGATCGTAATAGAAGTTCTTCAATCCATAGAATAGGTTTAGAGCTTATATTCTGGGAAGAAGAAGAATACTTTCTGAATAACGTCAACAGTAACCTGAACTTCTAAACGTCTTCTATAGACTTTCTTTTAGGGGTGTCAGTAGAAATGGCGAGAGGTTCATTTATGGTCCTTATTTTCTGAGCATACCTTCTAAATTCCCTCTATGGATATCAAGGGTCATAATAAAGTTTCATCAAGCCAAAAAAATATGTTTTGAGGTTATATTCAGAAAGAATATTATAAACAGAAGACGTTCTAAAGCAAACAGACAGAAAACCTACCAAAGGGTTTATAACACTGAGCGACAAGATTTTGGGGAGATGGAAATTCAAATTAGGGATGAAAGACCTTGGTGAGTATAAGAAAACCTCAAGTTCGGAGATATGGCGGGATCTTTTTTTTCCTGGCGACCCTATTACACAATGAGATATAGCATCTTTTTTGTACCTATAGAATGATGGAATTTCGTTCCTCTAATTCGAAACCGGTTAAATTTATTAAATTTTTACAAGATGCGATTACTTAACCTCGCAATATACTACAAAAATTTTGCTCACAATATATTTTGTGGTCTCCCCTCACACGATATATTGATATTTTGCCGTTATATTAGTCAATTCTCAAATTTTCCCGTTTCTTGACACGATATGTATGTTTTTCAATAAATTCAGTATACATTCCTTACGAATTGTTGATTTCCCGAGTTATTTTGTAAAAACATCTATACCGGTGCCAAATATGTAAGGAAAAATAAATTTCGAGGAAAAAATAACCGGGTTCCTAAATTTTTGAACCGGATATTCAGATAATAAACCCGGTTTAGGATGAAAAATCGCATCTTGTGATCGTTGGAGTCCGGTTCATTAAATTAAGGACAAAAAGGACACACAAGGAATCGAGTTAGAAAGAAAAAAATCCTCATCCGATTTTATTGCAGAAATGTAATCTCAATAATAGTATTAATATAGGGTCACCGAACTTTGATCTATGGTGATTTTTTTCCTTCTGAGGTTTTCATATACTCACCAAGGTCTTATAGTCCCAATAGGAATTTTCCACAATCAGAACATGACCTCTATTTTGTCGCACAGTGTAATAGAAGGAAGACTTCCATAGGTCTTTTGTAGATTATCTGTTTTATGGACCTTCTATATGTTTTATATAGACAGAAGAACTTCTCAATTAGATCTATGGATAAGCAATATTCGAGAGGTCTTCTAATGATCGAACTCCAACTAAAGCTTTATTACAGACAGGAAAGTTTCTAAACGTTTTGTAGATTCCATCCTTAGGTCATATGTAGACTGTGTATGCTCTTTAGATTCTTTTAGTGTCATATTAAACCCTATATCATCCTTGGAAGCTTTTTCGAAGTAGGTACCTTTATTCCAATCCTTTATATGTGTTATCGTTTTTTGTTTCTTATCTAAATTACCACAATCGCAATTCACCACTAATACCCACTGTCACATAGAGATAGCCTCTTCTTCTTGAAATCCATCATCTATTCTAAGATACTTACCAATTGACTGGATATAAAACTTAATATGTACGCATTTCAATCACTTTTGAGTTCACTTCTTCTTCTTCGTTTACTTACCGTATTGTCTGATAGACATGCTCAGCCATTGTGACATCTCCACATACATAGATATGGCCACGTTGCTCCACAATCAAATTGTACAATGAATCAAATTCCAGTTCAATCAAATCTTGGACATAAGTCTGAGGATGATGTGATGATGATGCCGATGATGATGGTCGGGACGAAATGGTTGAGTTATTGGTGTTATTAGAAAATTGCAGGAACCACAAGGATAAGAGGTAGTAACAGCAGCAGCAGCATCATCGTCGTTATTGTAGCATTCATTACGAATGTCCAGTAAATCAAAGAATAAAGATGTACAGGAGATGGAGATGAAACAGCAATTGATGCACACACAGGCCAGGCACACATATAAATATATAACCAATAACCAATGGCAGATGTGATGCGATAAGACGACGATGTTGATGTTGTAGTTGTCGGACAAAAATGACATGACGTTGACAAGTTGTTCACCGCCAGAGATACAAAGATAGCCACAACAAATTCCAATGCATAGAACCCCAACATCATCGATGGTTGGCCGACCATTCATACATCACAAAAAGAGACGTTGGTTTTAGTGTTTTAACCAGAATTGTTGATGGAAGTAGAACCAAAGATGAATTCCATCCATGTTGTTTTCAAGTAATTGTAGAGTAGCCATTGGGTAGTTGTTGTAGTTGTTATTGTGATGATATATCAACAGCATCCAGTAATGGAAAGCAAATGCAATCGGAAATAAATAAAATGAAAAAGGAGAAAAGAAAAAAACATACCGGAAAATGTATTTATTGACCATTTCTCTATTCATTCGAATCTGTATTGAATTGAGTTGTTTCTGGTTATTATTGATACAGGAATTCCTGTTGCTTTTGAACGAGGGTGGGGGAGATATCAGTTGAGGATATAAAACATTTTATATAAGAAGTAAGGGAAGGATTTACAAGTTTTTACTAAATCAAGGACATTTAAAATGCCAGAAAAAAGCGCCTATATAAAAACTACTGAGCGGAGCAGTCGGACGGGCATAATTTTTTGCGGATCTGTATTCCAAGATTCATATTTTGGTTTTTACACACATAAGTCCTGATTCATTTGACCCGCTAAATATTGACCGATCACTATTAAATATATTAAGGGTCAACAGCTCCCTTTGGATATAATACAAACTACTCCTGACTATGTCAATTTTTCACATATTTTCCATTTTTCGCACAAAAGTCAACACTCATAAAAAATCAACACTTATCCCATGGTCAGATCCCCGTGTAAAATGTTTAGTGTTCTAATCATAATTGTGACCTTTATATCGAACAGAAAAAAAGACAAAAATAACGTTTTTGGTTCAATTCATGTCCTAAATATGAGCCGATCATTACCGAAAACAATAGAAGAAGCAAAAGTTGACTGTACGATTTTTACCTCTGACCAAAAAGCTAATTTTTAGACTTTTCGATTTTGGCCTATGACTACAAAGTATGTATTGTCGTCAACAGAAAAAATAAAATTCTGGAATGTGTAATTTTTGGGCAATTTGGACTTTGTGATAATAAACCAAGTATTTATGAAGAAAATCGAAAGTCGATTTTGAATAGACGAATTTGCGACTTCCTCAAAGATCAAAAGTCGACTTCGAATTTTAGATATTTTAATACAAAAAGTCGATTAGTCGAAAGTCGATTTACTTATCCCTAGTCGATATATAACGATCGATATACTAAAAGGTGGGTCTAGGACCAATAATTTCCGGGCTATATTGAAAATGATCCATGACCTTTGTATAAGGCTAACTACACATGGACTTATATATAGAAACTTCTGTAAAAAAAGAAATTCGGTTGTAAAATATGTCTAAGACCATGGAAACACTTATAAAAGGCTGAACCATTTTATAGGGATATGCACCAAAAATCGAACGATATTTGCAATTTTCCTGGGAAACCACCATGTGAGAACTCAATGAGAGCTCAAAATGCTGTAACCGAATTGGCTGTAAATTGGTTGGTTCCTATTGTATAGCAAATCTCCTCAACGAATCGACCGATATTTGCAATTTTCCTAGGAAAATTTACCACCCAATGAGAACTCAAAGTGCTTTAACCGAATTGGCTGTAAATTGCTTGGTTCCTATTGTACAGCAAATCTCCTCAACGAAAATATCCGGTATCGGTCTAATTTTTATTTTAAATTATCATTGGATAGAAAATCTCCATTCCAAAAATTATGGATATCGGCCCACTTTTTAAGACAACCACCAGATAACAGCGGTATTTTGGGATGTTTGGGCTAATTGTTTACCGAATTAATTGTGATTTGGAACTTTGAGTTCCCATTAGGTTACAAATATCCGTATCAGAAATTATCGATAGCGGTATTTTCTATTCGTTCTCTGCAGTCTAAAGACGCTTTGACAGTTTTCAGTGTACAAGGTATCTTTTGATAGTTTTTAATAGACAGTAGAACTTATGTCTATAGACCGAAGCCTTATGTGGACCTTATATATGCATGATGCCTTATGGGGTCCTGCCAGGACAGAAGGACTTCCAATGGTTTTCTATGGACAGAGAGAATTCTACAGAAAGAATGCCTTCTGCAGGTCTTACATAGATGGAAATTCTTTGAGAGACTGTCGAAGATGTCTGGGTTTTCAATAGACCTATGTTATTCTGAATGAATAAACTGGATAGCATTTAAACATATTCTACAGCCCTGAAACTTTCTGATGATTTCCATTAGAAGGAATAATTTATGGGGATTGTCCATAGATGGAAGACCTTCTAAGGTTATTCTGTAGACAAAAGTATGATGCGTAGATTTTTAAAAGAATATGTTTTCGGGATCAATTTGAAGCGTAGATTTTTAAAAGAATATTTTTTCAGGATCAATTTGAAGCGTAGATTTTTAAAAGAATATTCTATGTTTCTGGCCAAAAATCTATTTTTCTAAATGTAGTCTCTAAATTGGACAACAAACCCCAAAAACAAACTTCTAGATGTTTCTAAATCTACGAAAAATTCTAAAATAATCTATCTCTATCAATATTTGTAACAAATCCAATCCTAATGAACTAATAGTCTTACACTAGAAAAATACACGCCTATTGATAAAATAAAAAAAACTGATAACAAATTAAAAAAAAAAACACGTATATGCGTCTAATAGTCCTTGAAAAAAAAATGTGCCAACCTTAAGGAAATATTCTTTAAAAACAAGTTTATTGTGTAATACTCCTTGCCAATATTTGAAAAAAGTCCCGACCTTTGAGAATATATTATTTTAGACTATAGTTCTAATAGTCCTAGAACACATGATAGGTAAAATAGTTCTGGATAAACCCATGCCTATCGATACAATAGTCATTAAGAAAGCAGTAAGTAAAGCTCAATAGCTGTATAGACCAGACATATCATCTTTGGAGGACCATTGAAATGGAATCGGATGAAATAAAATTTGTGATCTGCATAGATAATATATATGGAAGCTTTATCTAAATCCTAACCGATATCATCAAATTTAATAAATTTCATAGGTGCACCATTTGCATAAAATTGGACGAAAATATATATGGGAGCTATATTTAAATCTGAAACGATTTGAACTAAAACTTACACCGATCAAACTGTACTTAATTCAGTACGCCTTGCAAAAGTGTGTCTCAATCGGACAATTATTGGCATTTTGGTGCACCACTTAGATTATAAATGCGACCTGTATTTTGTTCATAAAAATACGAGGACAGACGGACATGCATAAATCAGCTCAGAAAGTGATTCTATATATATACATATTCTCAAAAGGAACCATGTGTCTATCTCGCTTCTTTTTGCCTGTTACAAAAATATGCACAAAGACAAAAAGTTCTTGAATGAATTTGATTCTTCTTGAGAAAATATTATTTTAGAAACCAGACCCATTAGTTCATGGACAAATTTGATAATTATTTTCAATATATCCCCTTCACATTATTTGTTATTGCCATAATTACTTACAAATAAATTCTGCCTATATTTAAACGACCCTCGTATCGTAATTGTATTGGAATCGCCTCCTCTTATGTGTTGTTTGTCGCAATTGAACGTATCTTATCGATAACAATAGACAAAAAGGAACTACAAAGGAAGAATGCTAGTTGTTTTCATTCGATTCACTTACATTTGTATCCTTTTCCGTATTGTCCACCGACCCCCTGCTCAAGCCCAGCAAATTTCTCTTAACAAACTCTTTGTGCAACACCATAAATATCTCTTCCGTATTTCGTAGTGAGGGAGGAGTGGGTGTGAGAGAAATACAGGACATATTGTGGGAACAAAATATTTATTCTACGACTTTTGTGAAATCTTCTTCCTCTTCTTCGTTTATCTCTTCCCCCTCCTTTGTAATGCTAGCAATATTGCTAGTAGAATTTATATGACGGAAGGATAAAATAATAGCTAAAGTAATGATTTCTCAAAAAGCTTTTCTCCACTCATTCCCTAACCACTCCCCTCATTCCCATTCCCGTACTCTCCTCCACACATAAACACAAGGATTTGGAAATGATATTGAAAATAGTTTTTACAAAAGACAAACGAGAAACATTAAAACGATACGATACAACACAGTATCCGACTGACACAATACATTGAACGAACACAAAGAGCGGGATATTGCGGAATGGATATTGTCATCATCGAGTTGGAAGAAAACAACATAATAAATTTCTATGAAAATTGATGTTTAAATAGAGGATTTATTGAGACAACTTTGTCCACACAGACAGGATAGAACATGACTATTATAATATTGAGAAACTTTTATAATGTCAAAATGAATTAATGACACTTTTAATAATCGTTAGCACAATATTGGAATGCAGTTTGAAAAGTTTAAAGAGATTTGAAAGGATTTGCAGGGGAAATGTGACAAGTAGAACAAGAGGATATGATGTTTTAAGCTAGTCAAGTATGATATATGGAGAAGCAAATCATTTTTAGGGATAATAACATATTTTAAGGATAATAAATATCCTAAAAATTTTTTGCAGGCAGAGGATTTTCTAAGGAAGGGAAATTGCATAAAGGACATTTGCAGATAGCCTTCAATACCCCAAATTTCCTTTTAAGGTCATCTATGTACAGAAAATCATCTGAAGTAAAGAAAAAAGTATGGGTGGGTATTTTTAAAAATATACTTTGGGTGCTTCAAAAAATGTTTTTAAAAATCCAAGCCAAAAAATATTTTTAAGAAAATCCACGCCTATAGGTTCTTGAAAAAAAATATTTAAGGTCCTTGAAAAAATATTCTTTAAATAAATTCGTGTCTATTGAAGGTCCTTAAAAAATATCAACACGTATTGAAGGTCCTTGAAAAAATATTCTTTAAAAAGGTCCGCACCTATTGAAGAAAATATACACACGTATTGAAGGTCCTTGAAAAATATTCTTTAAAAAATCCATGCCTATTGAAAGTCCTTGAAAAAATATTCTTTAAAAAATCCACGCCTAATGAAGCTCCTTGAAAAATATTCATTAAAAAAAATCACTCCTATTGAAAGTCGTTGAAAAACCTGACCCATTCTTTTAAAAATCCACGCCTATTGAAGATCCTTTAAAAACCTTACCCAATTCTTTAAAAAAATCCACTCCTAATGAAGTCCCTTGAAAATCCTGACCCGATTCTTTAAAAAATCCACGCCTAATGAAGGTCCTTGAAAATATTAAAGGTCCTATTAAAGGTCCTGGAAAATATATTCTATAATAAATTCAAGATTATTGAAGGTCCTTGAAATTCACATTTGTTGAAATCCTCACATTTTTCCCTAAGCCCCTATTGACTCTCCCCACCTCATTCACAGAAAATCTAAATTATCCCCAAAAAAAACCCCACTCACCTTTTTCATATCCGGCTCTCGTGATAGTGCCAAAAATACCCGATCCAATATTTTCTCCTCTACCAGGCGCTTCTTTTCTTCCGCATATAAATCCACACTATGGCTGCGGCATCCAAAGAACAACCACACCTTGGGCAGCTCACATTCACCATTCATCTCTCGCATCATTTCAAATTCTTGCCAAAATGAACGGAACGGTGCTATACCAGTACCCGGACCAATTAATATGATTGGCCTCGTCGTATCCGAAGGTAAATGAAAGCCTGGAGCACTACGTACAAACAAATAAACATCATCCTTGGCATTTAGGCTGGCCAAATAATTGGAACAGACCCCAAACCGTTCATCACCCTCACCATCCTGACTGTGATACTTAACAATGGCCACTGTCAAATGAATCTCATTGTTGACTTTTCTCGGTGACGATGAAATGGAATAGAAACGTGACTGCAGTGGCATCAGATTGGCCAGCACCAATGATGCGGGAGGCTTACACGAGGGGAACTCTTCAAGGACATCCAACAGATGGGGTAAACGCCAATGGCGCCAATCTTCATAGGCTGAGGAATCATTGACGAGTAACTGTAATCTTTCCGTGTCATGATTATCTTCACAGAATCCCGAGAGGAGGGTTAACATTTGTCTTGAGGGTGGGGTAGTGATATCAAAGAATTTCGTCAAAAGGGTACGCATACTCTCAGCGGGTATTTTATCATGAGACTCCCAACATTTGAAAATTCCATTGGAGGTCTGTTTCTCTTTCAGCAACTGCAGCTGCAACAATTCATCGGGGTCCTCAAAACCGGTTAGACGTTTCAGTAAACCCTCAACAATTTCAGGTCGATTTGATGGGAATATGCCAACATGATCTCCCGGCTCATAATCAATACCAGGTGCCGAGATTTCCAGCAAAATTGTGGTCTTCTCTCCATTACCACTATTTGTCAAATTGTGAGGATGTGCTTTGATCTGACAACAGGTCACCTTTTTGTTGTGATATTTCGAGAGCAATTGTTCCATGGTTCCCTTAGTTTTGGCCGGTACCAAACGTACTGTGTTCACGGTCAACGAATCATTTTGCAAAGCCATAGAGGCTTCCGACAAACTTTCATCCGGATCCAGACAAAATGTTTCACACGCCACCTTAAACACTTCAGGAGCCCATTTACGAAACGATTGTTCCTGGCCACACATTTCATCGCCATAGGTGACTTTGAGTAACCTCTCTCCGCCCAATTCTCCCAAAACATTGTCAATATATTGGCCGAATGCACAGAAATTTGGATATGCCGAAGAGCCTAAAGCGAACACGGCAAATCTGAAACAATAAAAATAGATCAGATTATTAATCACTAATAACTGGCAAAGGTTTCAGGAGAGGATATTAAGGAAAGGATTGATTTTTTGTTAGTTTATATTACCAATTGTTTGTATTAATTACAATTTTTTCCCACACAAAATTAATAGCTAGTCTAAAAATCCCTTCTAAGGAGCCAAACACAAAAATAAAAAACTACAGATACCTACCTTAATTTCCTAGAAGCAAGAAAGAAATAAAATTAAAATAAAGCAAACCAAAAAAGAAATAAATAAAAGAAATATACAGACAAAGCCTTCTCCTATTTCCTAAAAAATACTGAAGACGGACAAAGCATTGAAAAACTGAAAAATATATCTTAAAGAATTCAAAAAAAAAAAATTATTGTCACCGAAAAATATACATCGCACCTATTTTTTTATTCCGAGGTGGATATTTAAAATACATAAAACCATTCGGAGTCATGCCAAGTCAATATTCATTATTTTTGGTAAGGAGATGTTCTATCCCATAATAATTCAAAATGTAAAATTACAGGCTACATTATTAGATAACGGACCCCAAATACCGAAACGAATACAGTTATATGGTGGCTACCCCAAATAAATCGAAGAATATTTATAATTTACCATATTCGGTTGAAAAAACTTGCCCAAAAAAAACGAATATTCAGTTGTCCCATTATATCGAGGTATGTGGGGGCTTATAATGGACTTATATATCCAAATTTCAATACCGAACATCATAGTAGAAGGAGCAATACATGAGCAAATTTTTAAAGGTCAATCTTTCGAACTCTATCGTGATTTCAGCAGACTAACGGTTAACTCGACACCAGAAAATCAGTTAAAAAAAAACACATAATTTTAAGTTTCCTGGTTTAAAAAGCCACTCCTTATAGATTTTCCAATACAATAGTTCAGATCTTTTCTAGTCCCTTACAAACATTCCGTAAATGTGCACTATTTGCACCTTTTGTAGTCCCTTCAAGAATGTCTCAAAAATGTGCACGACTTTTATATTCCCTCGTATTCTAGCCCCTGAAAAAATATGTTGAATGAATCCACGCCTCTACCCGCCCCTGAAAAAATATGTTGAATGAATCCACGCCTCTACCCGCCCCTGAAAAAATATTTTTAATAAATCCACGCCTCTTATAGCCACTGAAAAAATATTTTTAATAAATCCACGCCACTTATAGCCGCTATGCCCGCTACTTCGTTAGTAAATGTGGTATATATTTAAAAATGTATTAACATATTATTTTATTTTTACAGAAAACTGCATATGTCAGAAAAACTAAGCTATCCACACATTAATATCGACCATAAATTAAATTTGAGTACCATTTAGTACCAAAGTTCATGATTCGAGCTCTACCGGTTCACCCAAATTCAAATTGTACCAAATTTAGCACACATTATTTTCAAGAGTACCCATCTCAACCATCCAACAAAACTTCCTGCATACCATCATACTACAACCTCACAATGATTCCAAGTTCAAATTTCAGGATTCCAAGTTCACAATTCACCCACAATTTAAATTGTATTAAATTTAGTACACAATAGTACGAATTTCCAATATTTCCTACATAACCCAAACCCACAGTTAACCTAAACCCAAGTTTCAGAATTCCAATTCTATCGGTTCGCCCACAATTCAAAATGGACCAAATTTAGTATAAATTTCAAAAACCTACCTCTTACCCTAAACCATCAACCCCACAGTGATCCTAAATCCAAGTTTCCAGATTCCAACGCTATCGGTTCACCCACATTTCAAATTGTACTAAATTTAGTACACTGTAGTACCAATTTCAATTCAAATTGTGATTTAAATCTTTCAGCATTACAATTCTATCGGTTCACCAACAATTCAAATTGTACCAAATTTAGTACACAGTAGCACAAATTTCCAAATCTTCCTACTTAACCCAAATCTACACCCCACAGTGATCCTAAATTCAAGTTTCAGGATTCCAATTCTATCGGTTCACCCACAATTCAAAATGTACCAAATTTAGTACATAGTAGTACGAATTTCCAAAACCTACTTCTTACCCTAAACCATCTCCCCCACAGTGGTCCTAAATCCAAGTTTCAGAATTCCAACTCTATCGGTTCACCCTCAATTCAAATTGGACAAAATTTTGTACACAGTAGTACCAATTCCAAAACTTCCTACATACCATAATCTTACACTTCCACAGTGATCCTTAATCAAAATTTCAGGATTCCAACTCTATTGTTTTACCCACAAATCAAATTGTACTAAATTTAGTACATAGTGTTACCAATTTCCAAAACTTCCTACTTAAACCAAATCTTCACCCCCACAGTGATCCTAAATATAAGATGCAGGATTCCAACTCTATCGGTCCACCCACAATTCAAATTGTACTAAATTTAGTACATGGTAGTACCAATTTCCAAAACTTCCTACATGCCCCAACCCAACACCCCCACATTGATCCTAAATCCAAGTTTCCGGATTCCAACTCTATCGCTTCACCCACAATTTAAATTGTACCAAATTCAGTACACAGTAGTACGAATTTCCAAAACCTCCTTCTTACCCTAAACCTTCACCCCCCACAGTGATCCTAAATCCAAGTTTCAGGATTCGAACTCTATCGGTTCACCAACAATTCAAATTGTACAAAATCTTGTACACATTAGTACCAATTCCAAAACTTCCTACATACACTAAACCTACACCCTCACAGTGATTTTAATCTAAGTTTCAGGATTAAAATTTTATCGGTTCACCAACAATTCAAATTATACCAAATTTAGTACACAGTAGTACGAATTTCCAAAACTTCCTACATACCCAGTCCTGCTACTTAACCCAAATATTCACCCCCACAGTGATTCTAAATATAAGTTGCAGGATTCCAACTCTATCGGTCCACCCACAATTCAAATTGTACAAAATTTTCTACACAATAGTACGAACTTTCAAAACTTCCTACATACCCCAATCCTACACCCAACAGTGATCCCGAATCCAAGTTTCAGGATTCCAGGATTTAACTGTCCACCCACAATTCAAATTGTACCAAATTTAGTAGACAGCAGTACCAATTTCCGAAACTTCCTACATACCCCAATCCTACACTCCCACAGTGATCCTAAATCCAAGTTTCAGGATTCCAACTCTATCGGTACACATTTCAAATTGTACAAAATTTAGTACAATTTTTAAAACTTCCTACATATCTCGATCTTACACCTCAACAGTGGTCATGACTGCAAATTTCATGATTCTAGCTCTATTGGTTCACCTAAAATTCAAATTGCATCAAATTTAGTACCATTTAATACCCATAAGTAATATTTGCTTAAACTGAATCAATTTCATTATTCCCGCTCAATCGGTTCACCCAAATCCAAATTGTATCAATTATAGTACATTTTCCAATCCTGCACTCTGACGGTAATGTTAATTTCAAATTTCTGGATTGCAACTCGATTTGAATCTCCAAATTAAATTTGTACCAAATATGGTTTCGTGTGAGTACACGCCTCTTCAAACCCCTCCAAAAATTCTTTGAATAAATCCAGGCTTCTTCAAAACCCCCAAACAATTCTTTGAATAAATCGCTGCCTCTACAAACCCCTCAAAAATTTCTTTGAATAAATCCATGCCTCCTCTTCAAGCCCTTCAAAAATGTTTTGAATAAATCCACGCATCCTCTTCAATCCCCTCAAAAAATATTTTGAATAAATCCACGTCTCTTCTAGCCACTGAAAAGATGTTTTGAATAAATCCACCCCTCTTCTATACCGTTAAAATATTATTTTTTATAAACCCACGCCTCTTCTATCCCGTTAAAATATTATTTTTAATAAGTCCACGCCTGTTCTAGCCACAGAATAAATATTTTTAATAAATTTGTGTCAATTTCAGACCCTGAAAAGTCTTTTTTTTTTTGACAATTTATGTTATGTATGACAAAATTAACATTATTTGCAAGTTCAAATCGCCCATGTCTTGTATAGTGTTCTAATCTATCTTTATTTATTTTTTTTTTTTTTCATTTCAGGTTGTTGTGAATTGTATATCCACGGATTTCATTCCGTACGATGACAATCGAAAAGGATCTACAAATATGTTGCAAATATTACAAGCCGGTCCGGCCTTTAACGATATATATATATATATATATATTGTGGAATTATCCTGTACTCTCAAGGACAGAAATTATCTTTTTCGACAAGCAGAGGATTGGTGTACAATACAGACCATATAAGTCGGTTTAGTTGTCAAGTAGCGTATTTATTAAAATTAATATTTTATGTATTTTTAAAAAATGTATGTATACATTTTTAAAAATAATATTTAATAAAAAAACGAATTTACTAAAAATATTGTTTGTTTTTATTTACGGATACAAAATATGGTAAGTATACACCTGCCCCTAAGCGTGCTCCATATATTTTTTGTGATGACGTCACAATTTTTCTATCACCTGGTTTTGTGCATTTTTTGGGCAAATTTCACAAAAATACCAGGCACCCAGAACAAAATAGAAAGTAGCCCGCCAAAAAAAAAATGATGAAAAAATTGCATCTGGCAATGCCGTACTTAGAAATTACCAAAATTGTAGCATAATTTTAGGCGCCCGATTTTTTTTTCGCGGGTAGAGATTTGCCAGAGCAAAAATTTTTGATTTTTTTTTTGGCGGGCAGCTTGCTATTATTTCTGGGCGCCTGGTATTTTTGTGAAATTTGCCCAAAAGTGAACAAAATTTTTGGATTTTTTTTTGTAATTCTTTAGAAAAGCCAGGATAGATAGACATGGGACTTTACTGTTTCACAATTAAATGCTGAATAGCGGTAATATTACTAAAAAACTAAAATTGAACCCACCCACTAACAGATTTTTTGGACAGCCATAAATAAATAAAAAAACGTTTTTGGTATTTGTTTTAAAATCTGTTTATTTGGTTTATTTCAATAAACAATCAATTAAGTCCCTATAGGGAAAAATTA